GGACTCATAACCAAAGGTTGTGGGTTTGAGTCTCGTACCGGCAGGGATTGTAGGTGGGGGGGGTGAATGTACAGCGCTCTCTCCCTCCTTCAATACCACGACTGAGGTGCCCTTGAGTAAGGCACCGAACCCCCAACTGCTCCCCGGGCGCCGCAGCATAAATGGCTGCCCACTGCTCCGGGTGTGTGTTCACGGTGTGTGTGTGCACTTTGGATGGGATAAATGCAGAGCACTAATTCCGAGTATGGGTCACCATACTTGGCCACATGGCACGTCACTTTCACTTTCACTTTCACATTGTTTGAGATGTCTTTGTTATGGGCTATGGTTAGGGGTAAGGGTAGGGGTAGGTCAAATAATGTCATATTTGCATTAAAAATGATAACTGAGCGAATGACACTTAATGACAGTTGTCATAAACATGCATAAAACCTCCTTCATATTCATGACATGTGTCATGTCATGATTATGAAGGTGTCATATCAGTCTTATGCACACCCCTTCAAGTAGTGTTACCGATTTTTTTTTAAGCTGTTGGAGTTGGACGTTGACTCTGGAGACACCATATATCATCATGTACATACATACATAATTGTATGTACAGCTGCAAACATATTCACTATGTTCATTTCATTTTTAAGCATATTTGCTACCCATAGAAGTTTGCAAGATATGAGAAATCATTAAGATGCCATTCTCAGTGAGCTCCAAATATAACATTAGTATTCCCACAGGCAGAACGTTTTTGTACCAGGTAATATGAACTATAGAAAGTAACAGAGGAAAGAGGCTTTGTGGCTTTGTGATAAAGTCCATGAAGTGAGTCATGGTCTGGAGCCATAGTCACCAATTACACCTGCCTTTGTTGCTTTTGGCAGCTAGCCTCTTCTTTTAAACTTCTCACCACAGCAAACAAACCTGAATGCTTGAGATCTTCCCAAGATAAGTCGTCTACAAGTTGTTTGCATTGTCTTAATTGGATGATTTTGCAGCTTGTTTGTTTGTTGGACTGTTTAAGACTTCTTCATGTGTCAAAGTTGAAGACATTTGTTGATTTCTTCTTGCTGACTTGGTTCTGAAAATAAGTTTGAGGGGAAAATGTTAAGGTTAACCATGATTAAGAGTTGTACCCAGTTATTTTAAACATTAAATCAAATCCTAATTCTGTTTACCTCTTTGAGTGTCAAAATAATGAACTTAGAACTTTGAACCGTTAGTAAACCAACGCAGGAAAACAAAGTGTTCTGGTCAGCCAACTTAACACTGCAAAGTCTCAGCTTTTGGCACAAAAAAAGTAAGAGTTTTGCTAATCTTTTTTCAAGATGATTTTAAACCATTTTGTTCACAGTGTTTATTTAAAAAAAAGCCTCCCTTATAGCAATGCACAACACAAAATTCTATGGAAAAACTGATTTCAAGATTTTTAGACTGGATATGTTATGTGGATGTTTGTTTCCATTTAATGCTATTTAAAGTCAAATCACAGCATTGTGTTAATTTAAATTGATAGTTTCAAAGAATATATTTAATGAGTTCATTTTGTTTAACTCTTTGGCTAAATGTTTTTTTCTGGTTTTAAGCATAAATCTAACCATTTTAGTGTGTGTTAATGCTAAAAACGCGATAAAATTATTTGATGAAGATAAAAACAATTCTCAGAATGTACACATGTTTATCAGGTAGATTTATTTTGCTTTAAGGATGTTTGGTTATTTTTGCTGGAAAATGACAAAAACTATTTTGGAAAATGCTGATAATTTTGCAGTGTTAAGTCAATTGATGTTTCTGCAGAATGCAGCAACCTGTATGCATGTTCACAATTCTGATTGGCTTTATAGTTCAGTCCACTTCCTGGAAGCTACCATAGTCTGGATGTGGTAGCAATTCTTTTAAATGTTATAGCAAGTTCTGTTTAGTTGTATTTTTCTCTCTCTGTAAGTTTCTTTAGAGCAGGGGTGTCAAACTCAGTTCCTGGAGGGCCGCAGCCCTGCAGAGTTTAGTTCCAATCCTGCTCCAACACACATACCATGTAGTTTTCAAATAAGCCTGAAGGACCTGATTAGCTGGATCAGGTGTGTTTAATTAGGGTTGGAGCTAAGCTCTGCAGGGATGTGGCCCTCCAGGAATTGAGTTTGACACCCCTGCTTTAGGGGATCTTTGCAAAAAAACAACCAGAGATTGCAGGATTAGAAGATTTTTTTGGTTACACTTTATTTCGATAGTCCACTTTAGACATTCTACTAACTATAAGTAACTTTGTAACTACATGTCAACTACATGTCAACTAATTCTCATTAATTTGCAACTACATGTCTACTAACTCTCAGAGTAGACTGTTAGGGTAGGTTTAGGGTTAGTAGAATAAGTTGACAAAGAAAGTGTTAGAAGATATTAAGCAGACAGTCTACTAATACTCTACTAACTGCTAGTTGACATGTAGTTGCAAAGTTACTTACTGTTAATAGAATGTCTAAAGTGGACTATCGAAATAAAGTGTTACCGATTTTTTTTGGTTGTAGTTGATCCAGATTTCCAAATCAGTACTGCAAGATTGTATTGCTGCCAAATATTCAAGAAAAATCACATTCTGCTATTTTGCATTACAGTGTATTATTTTAAAATGCTTTTTAAAAATGATGGTGGTGTTGGTTGCAGTCATAATCTCTGTATTTACATAAGTTGTGTTATTATAATGGTAATGGTGTAAATCAAATTAAATAAAATGAATTTAATGTAATAAATGCATGAAATGAATCTGAAGTACAAACTGCGAACAGTATGGAACAGAATAGCGACCTTTAGAATGTCTGTAAATGAATACATGCCGTTCACTGTAAGAGTAACCAATCCAAACTGTTTTCTGGCAAACAAAGCCTTGTGTGAGCTGAATGTTGATAGACCTCCTTTGACACTTTCTTTTGCTGTGCCTCAGTTTTGCCTCGTGATTCAGTACCGAACCTAAAACTTCATATTGACTCAAATTAGGGACAACTGAGAATCAATGAAGATGTTTCGTATTCTTCTCTCTGATTGAAAGCTGATCCAAAGATTTGACGACAGGCCACTTTAGATCTCAGGTTACAAAGTACGTGAAGCGGGTTTGACGAAGGTAGTCTTTTGCCTGTTGTAGCGTGTACAGTGTGGTATAATCACACAGGCATCAGTATAAATTTTGGAAATCCAAAGCTTGTTTTGGCAGTGTTTGCACCAGACAGCCGGAGCATCGACAGAATTGGCTGAGTCATACAAAAGGTAAAGTAAAACTTCCTGAATGTTTTAGTTCACCACATGTACTGCTAATGCCTTAAACAAAGATGAACAGATACTAATGCGCTAAAAAAAAAATTCGGATGATTTCATGTGTTATCATAATGTTTAAAATGTTCATTCCGGTCATGAGCTTCATTCGTTTGGAAAAAATTAGGTATACGTTAAAGGGCAACACTGGTATATTTTCTGAGATCTGGGATCCCTTCATAATTTTTTTTTTCTGAATATGTCAGTACTTCTTCTTAGAGTGTGTAAACCTAAGCATTAAGATGTTAATATGATCGTGGCCTGAATCTGGTTAGGAGTGTGTGATTATATGTGTGGATACTTACGTATGTATATGTATATACTTTAAAGCTGTAAGGTTTTGTTTGTGGAGGTATATGCATACATTTGATAATTGGGGGGGGGTATTTTTTCATGATTCTCCTGTATCTGTATCCTGTTATTATTGTAAAAGTTCAATAAACAGATAAAAAAAAAAAAAAAAGTTAATTCCTTCATCTATGGGCACATGGCACGATATAGCTTGTTGAAAAGCCTCCTGAAGGCGTGTGGGGGTTCTTTTTTTGTTGTTAAGGATTAATAGAGTGTTTGAGGCCATCTGTTCTGCTGAACGCGGATGTTTGTGCTGCAAATCCATAGTGACAGGACAGATAGATGAAAAGAGAAATCCAATGGGAGGAGCTGGAGGGGATGTGGGATTTAGGAAAGAAAGAGAAAGGGACAAGTTCCTAACAATAAGGACTTGACAGATATCTTGTACTGAACACTTAAGAACTCCAGAGCAAGATCTGGAGATTGACACACTGCACAGAGTATCCGGTATCATTTGTTCCAGCTCACAAATGGATTATTATCTACAAGCAGGTAGTGATCCAACACACAAAAACAAAAATGCACTCATTCTGATTTGAAATGAGCTTTTTTTCTTTTAATGTGCTGTCAGAAATGCTTATTGGTAAACATTAAAATGTATTTATATGGTCAAATTAAATGTACAACTGTTCCAGTAAGCTCTTACTGTTTATGTAGCTGATATATGTGGATTCATACTGTTTTTTTATTTGATTTTATATAATGTATTTTTTAATGTAAAACAAATTAGAATATTATTAGGATTTAATAAAATACAAAAAAAAATACAATTATGTGCTATCATAAGTATTTTGTATATGTGAATTGTCCATGTATTTATTTTGGAATAAAATGCCCCGATGTAATATTGTAAACATCTTGTGCTCTCCTTTTTTCTTTTTGTTTTTTCAGCTTTCCGAAAGATGAAGTCCAAACAGCTATTCTCACTCACTTGCCTGCTCTTTGTGATTTGCTGCTGTCATGGTGGAAATGTGCTGGTGTGGCCTGAGGATTGTAGCCACTGGGTGAACATGAAAGTCATTTTGAGAAAACTCCACAGCCACAGTCATAGCCTTACCGTGGTGCGTTCGTCTAAAAGTTGGTATATCCAAGAGAATTCTTCCCTCTACAGCACCATCACGGTCAACCCAATGGAGACCGAAGATGTGGGCGCGGACTACTTCAAGATGTTGATAGAGAGGTCACTGGAGCTACAAAGGATGTCGCCTTTCTTCCGTTTCTTGGAACAGCAGAAAGATATCGCCAGTGTGCTAAAGGTATTTCACAATGGAGCACTTCAAATGATTTCTGCCATTTTGGACGATGCAGCGCTTGTCAAACGCTTGCGAGAAGCTAAGTTTGACCTGCTGCTAACAGATCCTGCGTTCCCAGCCGGTGTCCTGTTAGCCAAATTCCTCCACCTCCCCATGGTTTACAATGTACGTTGGCTGAATGCAGGGGATGCTCACATGCAAATTGCACCCTCACCGCCATCCTATGTCCCAATGTACAATTCATTGCTCCATGACCAAATGAACTTCCTACAGCGGACAGAAAATTTCCTACGGTATCTGTTTAGCCTTTTCCAGGAGCGATGCATCATCGTGCCTATTTACAGTGAACTGCTTGAGCGCCATTTCCCGCCCGGCACTGATCTTTTGTCAATGCAGCAATCTGCTGACATTTGGTTGATGAGAATAGACTTTGTTTTTGAGTTTCCACGGCCCTCCATGCCTAACGTGGTCTACATGGGTGGCTTTCAATGTCAGCCGGCTCAAGCACTTCCTGCAGAGCTGGAAGAGTTTATGCAGAGCTCCGGGGAGCATGGAGTTGTCATCATGTCCTTGGGAACAGTAGTCGGCGCTCTTCCTACAGCGATCACAGAGGCCATTGCTACAGCCTTTGCTGAGATCCCTCAGAAAGTCTTGTGGAGGTACCACGGGGAACGACCCTCAACTCTGGGAAACAACACTTTACTTCTAGAGTGGTTTCCTCAGAATGATCTACTGGGCCATCCAAAGACGCGTGCATTTGTATCTCATGGGGGCACCAATGGTATGTACGAAGCTGTTTACCATGGAGTCCCCGTCTTAGCTTTGCCGCTCCTCTTTGACCAGTTTGACAATGTTCTGCGACTGCAGGTTCGAGGTGCGGCTCGAGTTCTTCAAGTCGCAACACTTACATCACAAGAATTCCTCGAAGCCCTCAAAGATGTCCTCGAGAACCCGCTGTACCGAAGCAGTGTCCGCAAACTGTCAGAGCTGCACCGCGATCAACCCTTGACTCCTCTTGAAAGGGCCATTTTTTGGATTGAGTACGTTATTAGACACAAAGGAGCAGCTCACCTTCGCCCAGAGGGGAATAACTTGCCTTGGTACTCTTATCATAGTCTAGATGTGTTGGCTTTTCTACTGATGTTCACTGTGATTGCTCTTTTGACCTCAGTATATGTCTGCAAGCTTTTGTGTTGCAGGAAGTCAATCAAAAAGAGGAAGGTGGAATGAATTGAGCTTGAACATTTGATATGTACTTTTTGAAAAGCTGATGAAACACTGAATTAAATGCAGCAGACAAATATTCGATTTTTTTTCTCATATCCAACTCTGTTATAAAACATGTACTGCTAAAGTCATTCCTGTAGCATGGTGCTAGCAACACCAAGGTCATGGGTTCTATTTCCAGGGAAAGCTTGCACTGATCAAATGTATACCTTTGAATGCAATGTGATTTGCTTTGGATATAAGTGTCTACCAAATGCATGAATGTAATAATATGTAAATGGAAAATCTCACACTTGGTGAACCTGAGGGAAAAAAATTTGATCTGGCCACATATAACTTGCCAGAATATTGTTAATCAATACTATTTCTAATTTTATGGTTATGACTAATCAAACTCATGTAAATTGAATAATGAAGTATAGCCATCTTTGTACTTTTTTGTGCATTCAATTCTTACAAACTGTATGCTGTTCTTTTTGTGGTGTATTCGCCAAATCCTCAACACTTTATATGTTCTTTAATCAATGTAATCTAGTGTCTGTATAGAAGCCGACGACATGTATTTCCACCACAAGCACGAGTCGGAAATGTAACGCCCCTTACCATAATCGCGAGCTTCTTCTTCAGCTTTCAACATAAATGTATAGACAGTAAATAATGTCCTTAGTTTTACCATCAGGGGAACAGAGTCGCGTGACAGACACAGTGATGATGCTCGTATGTATTTGCAGTACACAAGCCGCCATTAAGAAAGCTGACTCCACTGTGATGTGACCCTGTCTCTCTCTCACACACACACACACACACACAC